ACTGTTTACAGCCCATATCAGTTTTAATAAGAAAACAACAGAGTACGAATGCTGTTAACCTCCCCAGTATAAAGCAGAATCACCCAACCAGCACTCACTGGGGACCAGCCACCAGCCCTCACCTTTCCCAGAGCGTCATCGGTGCATATGGCCCAAGGCGGATAACCGGAAACAGCAGTGGAGCTTTTTACAATTTCGTTTGGAAAAAAATATGGAAACAAACTTGGAGTGTTTAAGAGAATGGAGACATTCACATCTGATTATTTTTTTTTAACCAAGTGTTCATTTCATTGAGATTAAAAAAAAAAGTTAATGAGCCAGTGCGGTGGCCCACGCCTGTCATCCCAGAGGCTCAGGAGGCTGAGGCAGGAGGATCCTGAGTTCCAAGCCAGCCTCAGCAACTTAGCACGGCTCTGAGCAACTCAGTGAGCCCCTGTCTCTAAATAAAATACAAGAAAGGGCTGAGGATGGGGCTCAGTGGTCGAGTGCTCCTGGGTTCAATCCCCCGTACCAAAATAAAAAGTCAAAAACTTAATGAAACGATTTAAAGGAAAACAAACTTGGGTGCTGTCCACGGACAACAGAGGTTGAAGCAGCTGGTGCCCGGGAGGGAAGGGCCCTCTGCACGCTGCAGAGGGCAGAGTAGAGGCTCCACATGATCTGCGTCTTGTAAAGAGGGGATAATTTGAAGCCAGCCACTTGGGGATTCATCAAAAATGCCGAGGGGGGCAGGTTCTATATGGTCAGCTGCGCCAAGCACTGGCCTCAAAAAGAAAGGCCACGGGACGGGGAATTCCACAGGCCTGGACTGCTCACAGCTCTTCCAACAACAAGTAGGTGGGATTTATAGAGAGAAACACCTCACAAGAGGCCGATTCGGGTTCTTCTTTTCCTATAGTCATCCCTTTAATTTCTCTTGTCTCATTGCTCTGGCCAGTGTTTCAAGATCTATGTTGAATAGAAGTGGTGACAGAGGGAGTCTTGGTCCAGTTTTTGGAGGGAAGGCCTTCCATTTGTCTCCGTTTGGGATGAGGTTGGCCTGGGGCTCAGCGTGGATGGCCTTGGCCCTGGTGACATCTGTCCCTGGTGTCCCCATTTTCTAGGGTCTTGAACAGGGAGGGCGCTGTGTTTTGTTGAATGCTTTTCCTGCGTCTGTGAGATGATCGCTCGGTTCTTCTCTTTAAGTCTATGGATGGGACGAGTTAAAAGAAAGAATTTAATCTGAAGCCAATACGATGACTTTAACTCCCCGGGGGAAAGAGGGTGGCGCTGTAGCCACGAGCCGCCCTCGGCCTGACCCTGGCCGGGACTTCAGATCAGGGTGGTGGCTGCCGAGGGCCCCGAGGCTGGGCCACAGCTTCCTGAGCAGCTTCTCCGCCCAGCAAAGAGCCAGCGGGCTGCTGGGACCAAGGGAGCCTTCCAGAACCCCATGGAAGGTTCTGGAACTGGGTGAAGGCCAGGAAAGAGGGCCCAAGCCAGAGTCCCCGCAGGTGGTACCGTCATGGGCATCAGAGAACCTCCTTCTTCCAGGTGACCGACTCTCAGCCGTCCCCACAGTGAGGTCTGGGTTCTTACCAGGTCCCCAGGGTCCCCACGGCACCCCACGGCACCCCTTCCCCTGCTGGTAAAGATGCTCCGTGTCTCCTTCCGAATTCTGAGGTGAACCCCGTGATTCTGTACCCTCCTGCACTGCCGTTCTGAACCTCCACGTGTGACGCTCCTCCGTGACATCGGAGGGAGGTACCAAGAATGTCCCGGGAACCTGCCCCTGCCGTGCTGGTGCCCCGCGGCTCTGGAGGACCAGGAGCGGCCAGGGCACCACGGCCTCGGTGGAGCCACCGTGAAGGTGACGGCTGCAGAGAGGCAGGAGCGGGGTGGCGCTGAGCAGAGATGCGGCTGCTGCCACCGTGTCACCGTCTGCGGCTGCCGATTCCAAACCCGCGAGCGATTCCTGGCAGGTTCTGAATAAAACTAAATATAGGACCCGAGTCGCGTCCCTGGAAAACTCGGGCAGAGTCAGACGGCGCAGCCATCCCTGGTGCTTCCCCGTGAAGCTTGTTGGGAGTCTGGACTCTCAATGGGACACACGTGGCCTTCCCCACACAGATGTCCGGCAGGACGCATGAAGGCCACCGCAGGGTGGGACCGTCCCCTCCTAGCTCACCGCCCGCCCCCTGATGACCCCCGGGCAGCCCACCAACCAGACCCCCCACCTTCTCCACGGTCCCCGGGGGCGGGGCTTACGTGTTCCCATTGTACAGAGAGAGGCTGAGACGGCAGGACCTCCCCGGCTGCCCCCCTCCCCGGGCTGTCCCCCTCCTGTGTGTCAGACGGGGCTGGCACGAAGGGCCAAGGACGAGTCCCACAAGCCCAGCACCCCTCTCTAGGCAGCATGGGGGGGACTTGAATAGGGGACTGTGCTGGGGTCCCCTGGCTGAGGAATGACCGTAGAGTAACAAGAGGTCAGGGATGACAGGGACAAGCCATGGGGGCCGTGTTCCAGGCGGGAGGCGGCGTGAGTGAAGGTGTAGAGGAGGGAGGGACAGCCTGACTCCTGAGAGGCCGCGGGGTGCAGGGTCACAGTAGGCAATGGGGAGCCATGGCAGGCGTGAGAGCAGGGTAGCTGCACCAGGGTGGTGGTTTGGGAACAGTTTCAGGGAACAGGAAGGGGAGGAAGTGGGAGGGCGGGATGCAGTGGGGCCAGCGAGGGGCACCTCAACGTCCAGGTCGGGATGGGGGTGGGAGAGAGTGGGCAGGGACCCTTCAGAGACTGAGCAGCCTGGGACAGGAGGGCCCTGGGCCCAGGAAGCCTCGAATGACCCGGGAAGCAGGTGCCGGACGGAGGGGGACACTCTCCAGACGGAGGTGTGTCGAGCGTGAGCTCTCCTGAGTGATGTCCACCTGCTGCCCTGTCCACCTGGGAAGTCGCCTCCAGTTTTCAGCAAACATGAGACGGGGCTCCTGCCCCACCTCCGCCTCGGGTGTCCCCTTCCCCGCAGGCCACCCGCTCTGATGGTGGCACGTGCCACAGTTGGTGACTCCTGCTGTCCTGGTCCTGCTGACTTCCAGTCCCTCTGGGAGAGCCGGGTCCTCCCTGCCCTGGGTCCCTTCTCTGGAGGGGTCAGGCGGTGGGGCCAGGCAGTCCCCGAGCAGGCTCAGAGCCCCGCTGGGAGGGCCCTGGGGGGCCTCTGGGAGCCTGTGGCCAGAGGGCAGTGTCAGGGCCTGGGGTGGTGGCCGTGGGCAGGGAGGCCTGGCCATAATAAGGCACTCTCCAGCTGCCCACCAGCAGGGGCGCGCCCAGGGGTTTGGTCTGTGTGGCTGGACGGGGGGACAGTGGTGGCGTCTGCTGAGATTCAGGTCAAAGGGCCAAACAGAGGGTAACAGATGAGCCAGGGCCACCCACACCACCATCTCCCCTTCCCACCCTGACCCTGCAGTTGACAGAGCAGGTCCCGCAGTCCCCTGTCCACCCGCCCTGCATCCTGGGCCTGTCCACCCCACACCCCCTCAGTCCTTCCTCCAGCCAATCCTTAGCCACCCCACTCCTCCACCACCCCACTCCTCCATTGGTCACTCGTCCTGCCTCCACCCAGCCTCCGGGCCTCCACCCAGCCTCCGGGCCTCCTGTGGCGCTCCTTCTGCCCGCTGCTCTCCCCTGCCTCTCCGCACCTTGCTGACTGATGCTTCGGGTCCCCACTAGGACCCAACTCTCCCCAGGAAGCCTTCTCAAGCCCAGCACCAGGAACGTGGCCCATGGACGCCCACGGCCCTGGCTCCCCCTTTCTGTGGTGCTTGTCACACTGTCCCTTTCGTGGTCACAGGCACTTCCCTGCCCTTGAGGATGCAGAGCCCAGTGCAGAGCAAGTGGAGGCCCGGAGGGAGGCCGGCCCTCAGATCACAGGACGGGAGGCCGGCAGGGAGGCTCCGGTGGGCGGCAGTCAGCCTGGGGCGAGGGCTGCGAGGGCTTCGGGGAGGTGGTGGCCCTGGGCAGTGCCGATGGCAGTGGCTGAGGTGGGGCTCCGAGGGCTCAGGAGCCCAAGCAGGGACTCAGAGTGGCTCAGGGGGGGAGGTGTCGAGGAATGTCCCCAGGCCCCGGGGCTGCGGGGAGTAACGAGGGAGCAGGACTCAGGTGGGGGACACTGAGGCAGAGTCGGAAACCCCCTGAGGTGAGGGACAGGCAGCCCTCGGGAGAGCCACCCAGGTGCCCCAGGCCACACGTGCCCAGTGGGTGCCAGGAGGCACAGGACGAACGTCCAGGCCCTGGTCTGCCCCCGAGGAGGACAGACCAGGGTGGGCAGCTGGCTCCCGTCTCCCGGGAAGCGGTCGTGGTCACGGCCTCCGTGGAGCTGGCCTGGGCCGAGGCCGCTGCTCCGGGAGGGGCCGGCCCTGGCTCCGGCTCCAGGGAAGACGCACAGCCGCCAGCTCCGGCGCCCGCTGCTCACCCTGACACCAGGGCCTGGGAGGAGTGGGACCCTGGGGACTGAAGGAGCCAGGGCCACATGTCCTCTGAAGGCTCGGCTCTGAAAGGACCCACATCCCTGCAAGACCAGGCAGGGGCAGCAGGGGGCCCACCAGCAGCCCCCGCCTCCCCGAGACTAGACGCAGCCAGGAGCCAGCCAGCGCTGCCCTGTCCTGGGTGGGGCTGTCCCCAGTCCTGGAGCACAGAGTCCTTTAGGGGCAGGGGCTCTGCTGTGTCCTCTGTCTGAACAGCTGGCCGGGCAGGGCTGGACAGGGCTGGACAGGGCTGGACAGGGCTGGGCAGGGCTGGGCAGGGCTGGACAAGGCCGGGCAGGGCCAGGGCTGGTCTGTGTGGAGACGGAGGGGCCAGATCAACAGCTGCGCGGGTGAACGCGGATGCAGAGGCGGACGGCTCCCGTTACTGAGCTGCCTCCAGGTGCCCTGGGCTGACCCTGTCCTCCTGAATACAGGCTGGGTTCCTGACCTCCAGCACCTCAGCGTGGGGCAGGCCTGAGGACGGGGAATTTAAAGAGGTCACTAAGTAAAAATGACACCTTTATTAAAGTGGCTCCTAATCCAATCTGTCTTTATCACCAGAGGGGACAGGGATACGGGCATGCGCAGAGGGGGACCAAGAGAAGACACAGGAGAAGGTGCCCTCTACAATCCTCACAGGAAATCAGTCCCCACGGGGCCTTGATCGCGGACTTTTGGCCTCCAGAATTGTGAGAAAGCTGATCTCTCTGGGTTCTGTTACTTTGTTACAGCAGCCTTAGCAAACTAATACTCCAGGCGGTGCCAGGGTTTCTCTCTCTCTTCAAAAGGAGCATCGCTTTTTCCAGGCCTGTGAGTATTGTTGTTTAAGCATAATGTGCCTAGAGCTGCTGCAGCCATTTTGCCACCATGAGGCAAGCAAGAATTAACAGAAAGCAAGGGAACAAGGGCCACTGACGACATCACTGAGCCATCAATGACTCACTCTAGCTCTGGACTTTCCTTGACATAAGAAAAGGAAATCTCCTTTCTGTTGAGGCCACTTGGAGTTGGGCTTTCGATGTGCATCCACACTGGTGTTCACCTAGGGAGGGACACAGGCCTCAGTCACAACTCCAGGAGGCTCAGGGAAGCGGATCCACACAGATCACATGGGGACACCGAGGAGTGGGGTGCCAAGACTCAAGCTGAAGCCCCTGGCTACGTCAGGCTGCCTGGGCTCTGAGATTTTTGGATGGGACAAGACCCTGGTAATCTGGAGTGACAAGGTCCCCCACATTGCCACCAGAGCCAAGAGGACCCGGGGATGAAGCCAGAGCCAAGTAGTGGCCAACTGTGGGGAGCATCGAGGACCAGAGAGCGCAGATCCCGAGTCAGAGAGCGCGGGACTCGAGTTGGCCGCGGGCTCAGGGGAGGCTGCCTCGGGAAGCCACAGGCTGGGAGGAGGCTGCCTCGGGGGGCCGGTTTCCCGTCAGCCTGAGGATCCACGAGGTGGTCGGTGGCTCCCAGCCTCCCTCCTCCGTCCTCCCGCCCGGCTCTCCCACCTGGAGCCGCGGCAGCTGTTGGCAATCAGCCCTGGGAACGTCTCCTGCCTCTGGATGAGGACTCTGTCCCAGGTAGCAGAGCAGCTCAACCCAAGAGCCCCACAGGCACGACTGGAATTCAGGGAAGGGTCCCTGGGGTCCTCTGCTCAGCCGGCCAGGACCACCCGCTTCCTCTCTCTCCAGCCCGTCTGGCTGGACTGCGCGGGGCCCAGCTGCGGAGGAGCCAGCTGCGGCTGGAGACCACCATGGCCCTCCTCATCCCGGTGGCCAGCCCCTGGTCTCATTCGCCAGGGCGATCCTCCTGCCTGGTGGGTGGCCTGTCCCCAAAGAGGAAACTGAGGTTCAGAGTGGTGAGATCACTTCCCCCCAGCCAGCGTGGGACTGCGGGCGGGCGGCCCCGCAGACCTCTCTCCACCCGGAGGAGCCTGCGCTGTCCCCTCCCCCACGCCCACTGGATAGCGGCTGCTTGATCCCGCTGAACCTGAACCAGGCAGAGGGTCCAAGTCTCCGTGGGGTCGCCGAGTACTGCAGTTAGCCGTGGGTCCTCTGCGGGTGAGGCGCTGGGCGCGGCACTGGGTGTTGAGCGCCCTCCTAGGGACTTGCGGGTCGTCTTAGCGCAGCGAAGGCTCTGGGAAGTCCCACACAAGGACACCCATGTGACCGAGTCCGACTCCCGGGTTCTGGGGTCAGGCTTTCTCTTCAGAACCCGGTCACGCAGGGACACTGTAGGAGAGGGGGAGGGCCGGGGAGGTCCTCCCGGGGCCACCCAAAGCCACTTCCTCCCAGAGGGGCACAGGGGACTGGCCTCAGACTCGGGGCCTGTGTTGGTGCGCTCTGGCCGCGGTGACAAACACCTGGGGAAAGCCACCCAGAGGGGGAGAGACCGCGTGGGGCTGATGGTGTCCGAGGTTCAGCCCACGGTTGGCCGGCTCCGCTGCTGGGGCCTGCGGTGAGCAGAGTGTCGGGCGGGGGTGAGGCCCGGGGCAGCTGTGAGGGGACAGAGAAAGGGAGCCAGGGGCCGGGGACCTCCCTCCTCCAGCCCGCCACCTTCCCACCGCCTCGCGACACGGCCTTCCCGTGATGGAGCCTCCATGATGAATCCTCAGGGAAGTCAGAGCCTGGCGATCCCGTCCCCAAAGTCCCCCTGAGTCCCTTGCTGCACTGGGGACCAAGCCTTCCACACGGGAGCCTTTGAGGACTTCCCAGGTTCAAACCAGAGGGTCTCGAAGGGAGGAGGCACCAGGGGCGAGGCTGGTGGGTCTGGAGAAGGGGGAGACAAACAGGGGTGTCCTTCTGTCCTTCTGCAGGGGGCCTGAGGGGCAGGGGCAGGGAGCCCCACCTGGGGACATGGGGCCGGCTGGAGGGAGTCGAGGCTGGAACCGGGACAGGCCACCCCCCCCCCACTGGGAGTCTTGAATAAGTGGAACCAGGGGCTGGGTGTGTGGCACACTGTGTGCACAGCGGGACGGTCAGGGCGGCACCTGGGCTCTGGGTGGCCACAGCTCTGCCACCACCAGTGCCACACCTGAGAGGTGGCACGCAGATGCAGGGGACACCTTAGCTGCAGCAGGTGGCTGCCACCCCTTCCCCAGCCCCCGCCACGTGGCACCCCTCCCTGTCGCCCTCATCCACAGCCGAGTCCCAGCTGCAAGGGAGTCTGGGAAATGACCTCCCATCGGCCCCCCTGGGAGCCCGGGAAGCCCACCCCAGCCCCGCAGCCTGGCTGACAGCAGAGACAGCGCAGGGCTCGCGCCCCTCACCCAGAGCGCCTGCAGGGAGGGACGCTGGCGGCAGTGCATGGGCAGGACCCCAGGGGGTCAGCACTGCCCGCCCCTGATGGCTCTGCCCTCCTGGGGGAGGACGACGGTCACCTCTCCAACATCACGTGGCTCAATGTGCCCAGGAAGACGAGGGGGTCTGTGTGGCAGGTCCCCTCCTGCTGTCACCTTGCAGGTCATCCTCAGAACAGCCGCCCGTGAGAGCAGAGAGCAAACAGCGGCTGAACCGCCGTCCAGCCGCGGTGGCCCTGGGGGCCGACCGCCCGGTCCCTTCAGTGGGCGCGGGGTCTCGGGGAGGCGGCCTGCTGTGGTCTGAGTGTCTCCCCAAAGTCCCCGAGATCCCGAGTGTGACCCCAGAGCCACGGCGTTGGGGTGTGGCCTGAGGAGGGGGTCAGGAGGATCCGCCCTCCTAATGGATCTCACAGCCCTCATAAAAGGGCCACCCAGCACCGGAACTGCATCCTCCCGACTCAACAGTCACCTACGGTATGCACGTGTCATTATTGTACTGTAAGTGTATACAGTTGTGCCAACTAAGAATCTAAATTAGCATTTGAACCCATGAGACAGGGTTTGAGGCTGTGGGTTCAGCCTCCTGCTCACATCCGCTTTCTCTCGCCCTGTCTGGGGACGAGGCAGGAAGGCCCTCCTCAGATGCTGGCACCCTTGACCTTGAACTTCCCCGCCTCCAGAACCACAGCCCAGTACATGTCTGTTCACTGTAAACTACCCAGTGTCAGGTGTTCTGTGATAGCAACAGCCTGTGGTATTGCCCAAACAGCTTTCCAGCTATTTCCGCACCCCCACCCTCCACAGAGCCCCTGGAAGCTCATGCCCTTGGTCATTCATTCTTGCAGCGCTGGTTTAGGATCTCATCTGCTGGACCCTGAATCAGGAGGGAGCACCACAATCCTTATCCCCATCACGTTCTTCCCCACCCCAGTGCCTTTGCACAAACTATCATCTGCCTCAAATACCAATAACTGTTAGGGTCTGTAAACAAGTCAGGATGGCCCCTGGCATTTTGCCAGGGGGAGTGGTTTGTGAGGTGGCGCCAGCGAGCCATTAAGTGTGGAGATTCCTGATTGGTTGACTGCTGTATCTAGTTTATGTTAATTAGATAAGCTGTGTGGAATGTATATATACCCCTCCGGTCCTACAATAAACGGCTCCCACTCCTGCTGTATCAATGTACACAAGTTGCTCGTCACCCCCCGGGTATTTTGCTGCAGCCGGACTGCGGCAAATAACCTCTTCTCTTGCACTACTCACCTGCAGGTCTCTGGTGCCCTCTGCTCTGGGGATCATTTCAATGCCCTGGACACAAGGAGGTGAGAGCGTCCAGCTTCTTCTGCCCTATTGTCTGTGGGGCTCCCAAAGGTATTGACACGTCTTGATTCAACCCTCCATCCCAAACGCTTGGTTGAAAGAATGAGCGTGAGCAGGACTCCGCAGCTGTCATCTGGGTGTGACCCACCCGTGGCTCGTGGTGTCCTGGCCACAGCATCCAGCTGGGACGGACTGCAGCAATGTCCCCTGGAGAACCGGATGGCCCCTCGAGAGCTGCGGTGGGTTCTCCAGACTAGAGACGGGGCAGGAGGCCTGCGGAGGGCAGTGGGCACCCGGGAGGTGCTTCTGGCCCCAGTTAGCCTCAGCCGCAGCCACCAGCATCCCCCGTGGCCTCTGAGAACTGGGGTAACCATGGCAACGGCAGGGGAGCTGGGAGTGGAGAGGGAGGCCTGCAGCCAGGCTGCAGTTCCACAGGGAGGCCTGCCGCCAGGCTGGGCTCAGGGGTCACCTGCACCATCAGGGTGGGGGGCGGAGATGGTGCACCGAGGCCAGGGTGGGGACGGGCTGTTGGAAAGGGGCCTCTGTGAGCTGCTGCAGCCTGCTGGGTCATGCAGCATGGGGTCGTCTGGTCTTCCCCTGGACGATCCAGGGAGAAGGACGAGGGGGAGACACAGAGCTGGACACTGATAAGAGGGGGCAGGGGCCTGGGGGTCACTGGGGGAGGGAGGGGGAGAGGGGAGAGGGGAAGGGGGAGGGGAGGCTGGACTTCCAGGGCTTCCTTTCCCCAAATATAAGCTGCCACCAGCCCGCTTGGTCCTTGCTCATGTCCCTCATCCTAGAATCCCTTCCCAGGCTGTGACTTCCCTGGGTCTGTCTCAAACAGAACGATGTGCGATGGCTGAGGCCTCAGGCTCTGGGCTCTGTCTGTCTCCATCCAGATCCTGACTCTGCTTGGCACGGACTTTGTGACCTTGGGGAGCTCGTTGGGCCTCTCTGAACCTCAGTCTCTTCGTCTGTAGGTGGGGGATGATAACAGTGCCCACCCCCGGGGCCGTTGGGAAGATGAAGCTCAGCCTGACGTGGCAGACCTCCAGTGACCGTCATCATCGTTCACCTTTGCACCGGAGGCATCCGCTCGTTCTCCAGCTGACCTGCACGGAACCTGCTTCTTCACTCTCCACCCAAGTCCTCCAGGGCCACCCACCCCGCCTGGCCCACGCTTCATGGGAGGACTGCTGCTGAAGAACAAATCAACCCCACTTTATGGCACAGAGTATCCCCCACAGCTCTGCAGGTCCGGGGTTCCTGGCGTCTGCCAGGTTGGTCAGGTTGGGTTTTCTCGGGGTGACAGTCGGGAGTCGGCTGGGCTGTGGCCTCATCCGGAGGCTGGACTGGGCCAAAGGGCTGTTCCCAAGATGGCGCTCCCCCATGGCTGTGGGCTGGGGGCCTGGGTTCCTCACCAGGGCAACCTCTTGTGAGGCGTTGGGCCTCCCCAGGGTGTTACCGGAGACAGCGAGGAGAAGCCAAAAGGCCTTTGATGTCCTGGTCCCAGAAGCTGTGCCCTGTCACCGCTGCCACTGCTACTCACTCACTGTAACGGCACACGTCAGTCCAGCCTGTCCCCGAGGGGAAGGGAGCTCGGCTCTGCCTAAAGGCAAGAGGCAAACGACGGCCGGGTGCGGTGGCCCACGCCTGTCATCCCAGCAGCTGGGGAGGCCGAGGCAGGAGGATCGCGAGTTCAAAGCCAGCCTCAACAACAGTGAGGCGCTAAGCAGCTCAGGGAGACCCTGTCTCTAAATAAACACAAAACAGGGCTGGGCAGGGGGCTCAGGGGTGAGTGCCCCGGGGTTCCATCCCTGGTGCCAGAAAAGAAAAAAGAGTCCAACAATGTGAGGACTCTCCTTGAACATGCCCGGGAAGGTCTGAATGAGCGGCCTGCGTATCCGCCTCACCCTGTGCCCCTCCCCAGACACTGGCACAGGCCCTGGTCCCACCACAGGGTCATGGGTGGGAGTGCTGTCCCCCAGACCACAGCCCTCTCCCTGAGGTCCCAGCTGCTTTGTCTGCAAAACGGGGGCCCAGCTGAGCCCCCCGTGAGAGCTGCAGTGAGGACGGGCTGGAGGCAGGAGCCTGGGTACAGGAGGGGACGTCTAGCATGGCATGCTGCATACAGTAGGTGGTCCATAAATGTCTGCTGCCGACTGTCCACAGCTGCTGTCTGATGCCTGCCG